GACCCCACTTTTTCTTCCTAATTTTTGGGGCTGGGGTTCCTCAAAAATCCTACCATACCTAAAGGGCCTGTTATGGTTTGGGAAGGGGACTCCACCCTGTTTTTTTTCTTTTCTTTACGTTTTTTTAAATTCTGCTCGCTACCTTGATGGTAGCGAGCAGAATAGCCAAGCCAAATGCCACTTCAGCTATTTACTCACTGCCTTTCAGCCCCTATGAGAATAGGGGCGAACGACAGCAAGTGAACTGCCGGAGGTTCGGCTCAGCTGATCCAGATGTTGGCTCAGCTGAGTCGAAGGACTTCTGCACTTCAGCTCAGTCGAACATGCAGAGCATGTTTGCGTGACGGAAATCAGCCGCACAGAGCCGAAGTGAATAACCGAACGTTGTTCAGCTCAGTTCGCTTTGGCTCGGTTATTCACTCAGTAGTGAATAACCCTCTAAAATTTTCTCCTATGATTGTACTGAGTGTAGACCCTCCCATTCACTCAGAAAATGACATGGGGAAACAACCAGCAATTTTATCAGAAAAAAAGGTGGAAATCTGCAACAACGTTTGTTAAAATCCATGCAATGTTCAGAGGGATTGATTTTTTTTTGTAAACAAATTCATAATCCCCCACCCATTTGAGTGAAGCCTGTTTAGTTAAATACTTGCCTTTCTCCCTGTTCCTTTGATCTTGTGCTGCAGCCCAAGACATTTCAGTAGGTGAACCAGGAATTTTAACCGGTCCTTACTCTGTTCTTCAGCAAAGCTTCTTTGTTTGCTTATTGTATTAAAAACACTGATAAATGTCTCACACAAGACAGTTTTTAATAGTAAGCACAGAAAAATACCATGTTTTGTAAACAAGACTTTACCTTTGCATTATTGAAATTCACTATTTTGTGTTTCATTAATGTTGGACTTGATATATCAACTCTCTGGGCAGGCTTTCCTCTGATTGGTGGCTGAGGGGAAATTCATGCAGCTCTTATTAAAAACAAAGTCTCTAATTCGTATACGGTACTGCATTTGCCAGCAAAATGATTATGCCCAGTCATTAAATAGGTTCTTAAAGTAAGTGCAAAGTACAAGCCAGCACTAATTTCAGCACTGTTAAATTGTCTTATAATCTTTTAGTTATTGCTGTGCATTGTGATGCGCTGTGCTGCGATTAAATGTAAGTCTGTATCATTTTATTACAACACAAACACTAGCACAGCTCACAAACAATTATTAACATAAGTCACCTATTTATAGTTTTGTGCACCTTAATTTTTGTACTGTTTTGCAAAAAAGGCGCAATTTAAAATGTACAAATATTTGTTATTAACTCAATATAGTTTTATATTTTAGATTTAGTCAGAAAAGTATTTTTTTTTTGTGCACAGATACTATATTTAGTGTGCTTTTGTCAATTTAATTGTGTATTTATATTGGTTTAATATTGATTTGACAAACATTTGCGAAATTATCGCAGGACCTACCAAATTAGTAGAACTGTCTTTTTATTCTACCGAGCCTGTGCTTCCAGAAAATATATGGTTTGGGGGACTTTTACAAACACTAGCAAACCAGCAGTAGAGAATCAAAACAATGGGAAAAATTTGAAAAATGGTGTGGCCAGCTTTAGTGAAATGGCTTAGAAAGCTTTTAGCAGCTCTCTAGTCTTCTACTCTCTTGTAGAGCTATTTTAAAATCAGTCTCTGTACAGTGAAGCAATTGGGGAACCTTTGAATAAATAACCATAAACATTGCCTTAGTACTGCAAATCTCTCTTTAATTCTTGAAATTCTCATAGGTTTGTTGCATGAACAATCCTCATTTGGATAAATATGATCACTTATAACCTGGTACCCAAAATATTTTTTGTGACTCATAGTTTGTGTTTATTTGCCTTATGAGCTACTCACAAATATTTTACAGTGGAAGTCATGCATCAGAACTAAGACAAGGTTCAATAGAGAAACGCACAGTAAAAACCTTCATTACAAAATAAAATGTGAAAGTATCATAAAATAATCTCCTACATCTAGATAACATGATCCTGACCTGCTTCCTGCCAAAAGATACAGCCTAAGGCCTGGTTCACACCTGGGCGTTTTACAGCGCGTTCCTACGCGCTGTAAAACGCTTAACATGTGAAAACCAATAATTGCCTATGGGCATGGTTCCCACCTGGGCGTTTTACAGCGCCTAGGAACGTACGCCCAGGTGTGAGCCCAGCCTAAGAGAAGGGATCACTTCAGAGGCTAAAGTCGATGTCATGTGATGCAATCACATGACACTGGAAGGAGATTTTTTCAAAACACTCTATTCTATACTGTCAGCCAGCCTGTATGCATTGAGGGAGAGGTGCTGATGTCTGAGAAAGTCACCGTCCATCTCCAGTGCACACCCTAAGCCAGGGTGCTCGAGTCACCGCCATTTAATTGTGGTGTCACCACTACAGCCATTGGAACTGTTAGATTTAGTGCCTGATTATTAGATTGATGGCTGCAGAGCAATAATTTACAGTAAAAGATAAGTCATACTGATTGCTAGTAAAGATTGCTATAGATGGAAAAATATCCACTTTAACTGCATGGCTATAGATTTACCTAAGTGGTTTAAACATTTTGAAATGCAAATTACCAGGAATAGGAGAAGCTTGGCTGCTACAGTATTGAGCAAATAAGGAAGTAAGGAAAATGTCAGCTACTGGGATATAAAGAAATGTTTAATTTCCTTGGTAATTTAATAAAAATACAAGAGATGGACATGAAAGAACTTTACACAGGGATTTGGGAAGATATCATGCATTATGTGTGTATGGCTTTCTGCCAGAACATTTAGTATACAAATTGCACTTATACCTGAGACAATAAAAAGGATATATATATATATATATATTTATCTTGTGTGCGCATATAGATAGATAGACAGATGGACATACATACAGTGAGGAAAATAATTATTTGATCCCCTGCAGATTTTGTAAGTTTGCCCACTTACAAAGAAATTAAATGTCTATAATTTTTATCATAGGTAAATTTTAAATGATGGCGACAGAATATCAACCACAAATGTTATCACTGGATTTTGTAATAGTGTTGCTTTATTAAAGCGGATCTTTACACTCAATCTAATTCTACCAATGCATCCCTCTATGTATGATTATTAATAATAACATATGTCAGGTGTAAAATGCTGTGATTTTTAAATACTTACACTTCCAGAGCATTCACTTCCTGCTTTGAAAGGGCAAAATGACTTCAGTCTGCCAAAGCAATGCACACTGGGATTGCCTTGTCATCAGCAGAGTATTGCTCGGAAGTCTCATCTGTAATATCACAAAGGAAAGGCATTTTCCTCCCCTGAGATAATGTGCATGGTCACATGTCCTGGTCGCATGTCTAGTCACATGTGCCAGAAGTCCAGGAAGTAAAAGGAGAGCTTGTGATCTGCCCTTAGCAAACTTGGCCACTGCCAGAAGACTGGGGAAGAAAAGGGAAATGAGGTATGCAAACAATACAAAGCTTGCAATTATCTAGACGTATATTTGTAGATTTTTAATTACTAAACATTTCTAAAGGTGTCTTTGTTGTTATTTTAAAGATATAGGTAAAAGTCCACTTTAATAAACAATTTTGCCACCACAATTTGGGGGTGAGGAAGAGTCAACACTATTTATTCCTCCCTAAAGCTTACCCTTAGTAAATCAGGCTGTATATCTCTCTGCTGGTCCAGGAACACCTTGGAAAAACTTGCATCTGCTGCCAAGCAAACTGATGTAAAACTGACCTAAACAACCTTCTCCACCACCCAATGAGTATAAGATTAAAAATGTAGATTCTGATATTCTAACAGAATCTTAACTGTTAGAATATCAGTTACATATTAACCATGATTTACCCTACTTTGTGAGGTTTGACTGCAGAGGTTTAACTGCACAAACAAATGAAATTATACATGTGTATACCCATGTGGGGCAAAGATTTAATTGCCCCCCTCAACTCTGACTGATAAAATTAGCTTCTTTGCTAAGACAGCAGAGTGAAAAGTCCTTATGCAAGAATCAAGCAAACTTGGTTGGAGGATACACACACTAAACTCTCTCCTTTTACACCTGTCACATTGCTGGGGCCCTGTGTTGTCCAAGAACAGGCAGACAGTCTACCTGGAAGTGCTGAGTATGTGAATGGTAGGGCAAACAAGTGAAGGGAAAGTGAGTATAAATGGGTGGTCTCTGTGCTATTCAGTGAACATGCTGCACTGACTTGCATGAGTTCTGGAATGTTAAGAAGGACTCAGGGTTCCATTTTTTTTAAAGAAACACAGACATCGTCAAAATTACTCATTTGTAGAGAAAAAGTGAAGCATGGGGTTTTATTTCCTAGTTAAAATTATGTAGTTTTAAATTAATTAATTTTTATTAAATTAATAGATAGGAAAGAGAAAAATGCAGAAAAAGAAAATGTGTATGGTTTCAAGATTACACATTTTACAAAAAGAACTGGTTGTAGGGGCAACATATCCATAAAGTGATGTTGCACAGGGCAGCACAGTGGCGTAGTGGTTAGAGCTTCTGCCTTGCAGCACTGGGGGTCCCCAGTTCGAATCAAAACTGGGGTCACCATCTGCAAGGAGTTTGGGTGTGTTTCCTCTGGGTACTCCGGTTTCCTCCCACACTCCAAAAAGACATGCTGGTAGGTTAATTGGCTCCTCTCTACGTTGGCCCTCTATGTATGCATGTGAGATAGGAACCTTAGATTGTAAGCTCCTTGAGGGCAGGGACTGATGTGAATGTGCAACTATGTAAAGTGCTACGTAAATTGTCGGCTCTATATAAAATACCTGTAATAATAAATAATAATGTTGCTCAAATCTGTTTTTTATTTATTAAATTGTCACAGTCGGGCACTGCTGATAGGAGAAAGAGATTTCCATAGTTTTTACAAAATCTATAATTTTTACACCAACCTTAGCTGGCTTTTTAGTTTTAAAATGGTAATTGCATTTATTATTCTTGTTCCACAGGTGGTTGACCAGATTGACACTTTAACTTCAGATCTGCAGCTGGAAGATGAGATGACAGACAGCTCCAAAACAGACACGTTGAACAGCAGCTCAAGTAGCACAACGGCTTCTAGCATAGACAAGGTTAAAGTTCGAGCCAATGCACCTTTAATAAATCCACCTGCACATCCGTCAGCTGTCCTGACAGTACTTAGGAAGCCCAATCCACCCCCACCACCCCCACGGTTGACTCCAGTGAAATTTGAAGAAACTCAAAGGTTAATTAACTCCACCAACACTGTAAAGAAAAATGGAGGATTACTTAGAAATGGTGGAATTCCTGGGGGACCTGTCACACTTCCTAATGGTGATGTATGTGTGATTCATAATATCAAAGTGGATAAAATGACAGGACAGCCATTGACACACAGACCAGAAAAGGACCGTTGTTCTCAGGCTACAACAAGAGAACGAGTACGTTTTAGTGAAAATGTCCTATATCATGGCTACTGTCCAGACTGTGATGTTGAATCTGAAATGAAAAACAAAGAGGTACATCTTCATGGGGAGTCTGTCCACCTAGCAGCAAAACTTCCTCACCATTGTCCTTTACCATCAAAACCATCGTATCCTATGGAAAATGGTGGATTAGGCATTACTAGCAGTGTCTGCCATCTGCCTTCGAAACCCGGAAGTCAGCCACCGCCAACTGCACCAAAACCACAAAAAACTATACTGAGAAAATCAACCACAACAACAGTGTGATTATTTTTTATATTTAGATTTTTATAATAATTATAAAAAATTGATAATGAGCACTTTAAAGCAGTAAAAAGCCCAGATTCAACCCTCCTCTCTTCAGAAGTGTCATAACTATCAGTTTGGTAAGTGTGATTTTATCAATATTAATTTTGTAGAGTTTTGTATATGGGACATTTTAAATAACAAAATTATTGTTTTAGGTCTAGAACTGACAGTTTAATAGTAAAAAAGGAAACTATACCAATAACAAAAATATACATTTTTAAAGAAATATTTTAAAATGATAATGCTCACCATTCTTAAACAGTGGTATTCGGAATGAATGTCCACATATGGTTTAATATTCTCCTATAAGGCAAAACTTGCCAGCATACCCTTTAGATATACTCAACATCTGTGTGTTTGTGTAATTATTGTGTTTCTACTCTCAAACTTCCAAATGGTTGGGTAATTGTAGGCTGTATGACTCTTATATTGCTCAGACACTCTACCAACAAAACATTAAAGCCTGGGATCCCAGCTCACCTTAACTTAGCAGAGGTAGATTACAGAATCTCTGCAGGGGAAGATTCAAACATTGTGATAATAATTACTATATAATTTATCAAAGATACAGAAGTAGCTTGTTTTGTCAATGGCTCCTGGTGACTCAAGGAATTGAAGTGCTGTTTGCCAGTGGTCCTGGTGAGATATAAAAAGTTAGTGAATGATGCAACCCACCAGCATCTACCCAAAACGGGATTGTCACTTCATGGTGGATTTAAGTGCTTTTCTACTTCTAGGTAAGTGTGAAAATACTGTTCAACACGGAAGTAATGAACAACAACAGAAAACTCCCCCCACAGGCACCTTCTCTTTAGGTAATTGGAATCCTCATCACTGGGCATTATTCTCCAATTGAAGGGGTTTTCCCCTCAATAGGAACTCGTTGCAAAATATTGAAAATCAGAATTACTTTGTTTGTTACCTGTTGATATTCACTTACCTTTTAGAGAGAGTATTGTACGGGAGCATACCTAAATGGATCCTGGAGCTTTACTACGTTTGGCCACATGGACTCAGTACTGAATACGACTGTATGGTGAGCGAATCATTTTTAACATATTAATATGTAGTGACTTAATGATTTCTTGTTATTGGTACTTGTTTTTCTAAAAAATAATGTATGTGCACATTCTATATCATATGAACATTTTGATCCTTGACATAAACTAGAAATAACAACAAGATGGTGAGAAGAACTGACCACTACATGATCATTTTGTAATACCATCATGGTATATACATGCACAATCATTCTGGGAGGGCCATAATGCTGATGGACGGTGCACAAGAATCTGTGTTTGCTCTAAATGCTGATTCAATCATTTTGGCTGGACATACATGTTAATGCTCTGAACAGACATTCCTGGTGCCAGCCATATCTCAGAGAAGCAATAGTGATCGTACTGCAAAATTGATCTTGGAAAATCAAATGTTCTCCCGAGAGCAATTGGCAGCCTCTTCTCCCCCATGCTTCAGCAGTCTAAGCCCACTGAAGTCATCACCTGAAATACAAGGGACATACTACAGCCAGAATGGAGGGGTAGAGAGCTGAGTGGTCAATGCAGCAGGGCCAAATTTCAGGTGAGTATATATTTTTTGTTTTAAATCCTAGACCAAAACGAGCACTTAACCCATGTGGGAAGGGGACTAGCCCCACTGCAAAGGTTACGTTTTTAACTGCCTGGTGTTTTTCTTTAAGGGATAAAGGGCACTTCCTTATCTATGTGTTCCCCAGAGATGTGGATAATAAAAAAAAAGAAATGTGGGGTCTATGGTGGAAGCCCCCTTTAAAATAAGCTGGAATAAAAAGTGTCTTCAGGGGACCCCTTGTCCATCCCAGAGTCATCAGGAAGAAGCCTGCAGGAGGGAGGGATTGATATGATATTCCTTTGCTTTATTACCCTCTAAAATAAACAAGCATGTAACCCTCATGTTTTATCCCTACAAAAAAAATCCCCATTGATCCTACCAGAAATGCACTGTGCTATGGCTACACTAAAATTCTAAACAATGTTGTCATCCCTGCCAAGTTCTCTATTGCAGACCACCCTTCATCTCCAGAACCTATGAATGAGGTCGTTCCCTTGATCACTCTGCTATATCTTCCTATAAGCATGTTTCAACACATTTGAATGCAACACTCCTCTCTGATTCCCAGTACTGTTCCTTACTGTTGCAGTCTTAATGTTCCTCTATAAGGTTTGCAAATGGCTAATATCAAGTCATATTCAGGTACTTACGCTAATTCCAAACACATTTAATGAATTATATAGCTGCGTTCATTTGCATATTTTATATCAGCCTGGAGTTCAGCAGTTTTTGGATGTCATGATTGTTCTACGGGGGAGCACCTTGAGGTACCTGGTATTTGTTATGTCCCTTTTTGTTATTGTTTTTACCTCCACAGGTTTAATCTAAAATATAACAAATTATAGATTTCTTATATGGCTGTCTCTGGTTACATATGTCAAGGTCTCCAGGGATAAATAGATTAAATATAAAAACAAACAAGTAGCATCTATTATTGCTAACCTTTATATGCCTTACTTAAATCGAACATATTTCACTATATTGTTTGTTCATGCTCCTTACTTTTCTTTTATTGAACTGATATTTTATAATTAAATTCCCAATCCATTTAATATCCGCTTTGTTGTCAGTGACTAGCTGTGTATTTTCAGATTATTCACCCAGCCTGGAATATTATATGTCACATGTGATTAATGTCCAGTAAAGCTACATCTATGTGCGCAGAACAAGATGTAAAGTCCAGAACTGAAAGTCATTATCTAAAAAAGAAATTCTTAGTGGATACAAAATAGACCAGTATCTTTTTTTCACCAGACCCTAAATATGAATTTTTGATTTTGGGGTAAAACACATTTAATATTGTACTTGCACTATATTTTCAGTGCTTTTTCTGTATTTATCTTGTTTTACGTTTATAGTAAACAATATGTTGCCTTTAATTATACATAGTATTTCTATGTTTAGGAACTAATTTACTAAAGGGATCATTTTCACTGTAGTCCGTGTTTAAGGAGAATTATGGGGTGAGTGGAAAAAAATCACCCCCTTAATTCAAGCTGACATGTGACACAAAAGCTGTCAGAGGATGGCTCTATTGATCGAGACATCAGCGAACACATACTGCTGCTTGCGACTTCCCGATCCTATCCCTGCAGAGAGCAGTGACTGTTAGTCACCGCTCCCTGCAGGGATTCCCCCCTACATTCTCAGTTTCCCCAGCGCTTACTGGAAGAACAGATGGGGGAGGGGGCAGGCACAGCTGGCTCTGCCTCTAGAGAGAGCCAGCTGTCAATCAGCCAGCGGGGTGGATCTTGACAGTATTGTAGGGATCCGGCTGCGGCGCGGCTCTGCACTCTCAGCATATAGTAAGCTTGCTATATACTGAGTTTTGGGTCACCGTATATGTGTATATACGTATATGTCCTCCTGTGGCATATACGTAAAGAGAAATATAGCAAAAAAAGGGTTAGGTCATAGTTCTCTTTTAATTTCAAATACCCTTTTGGGTTTTTTTAGCATTTGAGGGGGGCAAAGGTCAGCTTTATAATCTTTTATGCCTTAGTGCATTAGGCATGAATTTTAGTTTTGTTCTGTTCATGGCCTATTTTTTAGGAGGTACTTTGTAGACTGATTGTAGCAAGCCAATGAAACCTCATCACGCTCATCCACTAGAGACCTTCAAGTGCCTCGTCTCTTGTATACTGCTTTAGAGTGGCACCCATTATTGTTCAGAAAGATTTACAAAAAATACATGATTTTGATTTCTTGGAGTCATAAGATGGCACATACGAAATGGCTTAATTTTCCAAAGCTTGGCCAGGTAGAATATAGACAAAGCATACAACAATGTGAATCATTAATTGCTAATTAGTAAAGTTATAAAGATGACACTGTCGCACACCCTCTGTGTAACAAGTGTCAATACAGTATTGACATAAAAGCCCCCCCTCAAAATAATACATCAAAACTTGACATTGTACATTTTCTCATTCTTTTAATGTATGGGATTTAAAGGAGGAAAATGAATGAGGAGCGTCAAACCGAGTAACTACACTCTGCAGAAAACAACACTTGAAGCTGCAATATTTTAAATTATTAGTAGTTGGATTACTAAAAGAATAGAGACTATTCACCTAGCAAACTAAATGTTGCTTAGTAAATAAGATGAAGCTTTGTTCACTTCAGTCATCCACTTATGGCCAAGACAAGATTTTGTTTTTTATTTCCCCAGTACATCATTGGGTATTCCAAATGAACACATATTTACCTTATCTACCAAGCTTGGTGACATTTTCAAAGTTAACAGCCACTTCTTTACCAACCCAGTATCAAAATGTACCCGTGAATGTCTTAAAGGAGAAGTATGATAGATATAATTATAGCTCCACCAGCACTAGATTTGATCTAAGCAAAGCAAGCACAGTAAGTAAGCTCCTCTGACTGGTTCAGCTGTGTCTATAATTGAGCCTCAGCTGCCCAGCTCTGTAGACCAGCTTTCTGAGCAAAGTAGCCCATTAAACCTGTACAAAGAACATAGAGCTGGACTTTTTACATAGTTTGTAAGGTTGAAAAAAGACACAGGTCTTTTATTCCCTTTACTCCAGTCCCCATTAATAGATTTGTATACATATTGTGATCATATCCCCTCTCATGCGTCTTTTCTCCAAGGAGAACAAGTTAATTTTCTGTAGTCGTTCTTCATAACTTAGGTCCTTCATCCCTCTTTTTAATTTTGTTGCCCATCTTTGAGCTCTCACTAGTTCAGGAACATCCGTCCTGGGGATTGGTGACCAAGCATTAACTGTATACTAAAGAGGAGTCAGAACTAACGTTTTGTATTGTGGTAGAATTACATTTTTTTTCTCTTGTTAAAATACATTTTTCAATGCATGATATTATCCTGCTGGCTTTGCTAGCTGCAGCTTGGCATCATATGCTGTTGCTGAGTCTGTAGTCTACCAGGACCCCCAGATCTTTCCCTATCCCTGATTTCCCCTGAGGAGCACCTCATTGGCTGCTAGACTTTCTAGCTGCAAAATAGCTATAA